CAAAATAAACATAGCACTGGGCCTTCCCAAACTTATGGAACTCGCCCAGCCCTTGATTGACCCAGTTTAACTTCATGCAATACTACCTTTCTCTCATCCTTCCCCCAGATGCTACCCCACAATATGCTTTCAGTCAAACAATAAAACTGAAACTGACATTGTACATGCATTCCTTTACTTAGTTTGGTTACGTCATGAAAGTCAAACTGAAAGTGAAAGTAAAGGGGCATGCAATATATTCAGTCAAAGTATAAAAATGAATACAGGTAAAGGTTATAGCTGGGATTATAGAAGGAGATGAAATGTTACCTCTCAGTTCTATGCCTCCAGAACTCCTCCTTAGTTCCGGCAGAACTCCCGCAATCGTTGGGACGACTCCCCATAGAGTCTTGACGCGGTCCTACGGGTTGCAATCCCGCCTTCCTCTCGTAACCAGGATTAGACCGAGAGTAAGAAGGGCATGCAATATATTCAGTCAAAGTATAAAAATGAATACAGGTAAAGGTTATAGCTGGGTTTATAGAAGGAGATGAAATGTTACCTCTCAGTTCTATGCCTCTAGAACTCCTCCTTAGTTCCGGCAGAACTCCCGCAATCGTTGGGACGACTCCCCATAGAGTCTTGACGCGGTCCTACGGGTTGCAATCCCGCCTTCCTCTCGTAACCAGGATTAGACCGAGAGTAAGAAGGGCAGAAGGAGGGGTTTCAGACTCTCGAGATGCAAGAAGGGGACGTCTCAACTTGCAGGAGAGGGCCTTGTAATCTTCGCTCGCCTGAGGGTCCCGCAATGACGGTCAACAAAACGCAGCAACTTGGTCAGACTGAAGTCAATCCGCCGAAATCAGACCTCATACGACCTCCTAACTTATGGTAATAACCCCTCTCCTCAGCCTAATTACTTCTCTCAGTACCAGCATCTCCCCTCAACGACCGTCGTCACACTGCACCCCTAAGATCAGGAAGGAACTCTCAATCTGCCAATTCTTGGAAATAGCAGAATGAGACGTAGCAAGTTCAATGTACCGCCGGCCCCTCGCTGTAATAAAGGCACCGCACCATTAACCCCCAAGCCTTCACCCTGTAGCTAGCCTACCGCTGCTCTGCTTAGCAGTAAGCTGTGCTTGCCAACTCTCGGATGAGCCTACAATCTCACAGCCAGTGTCGCCACTACCCCCAGCACTTAGTTTCCTACTCAAGCAGCTACGAGGAACGCCATGTCACGCAAGATGCAGCGCAAAACCCGTGAAGCGCAGGACTTCATAAGCAGGGCAACAACCCTGTAGGGGACGACAGGGCTGGTGGACTAGCAGGCCGACAACCGGGGCGCGGAGCATATCGTATCAGCAGCAAGATTACCAACCTTCAGGGCGCATAAGTGGCAATACACAGAAGGCACAACTTGCGGATGACCAGTACGGCAGCAAACTAGTGGGGCACGAGACAATACTAACGACCCGATCACACTGCACAACGAACTCAGCATCTCGCAACGAACCATAGGAGAAGCAAGTGGGACAACGGGGGCAGGGCAGTTGCGGGGCGCAGACAAAAATGCCTACACATCCCACATGAAACAGAGCAACGCCTAACCAACTCACATTACGATTGAGCCCCGCAGACTGTTGACTCCCACCACATACTAACTCAGAGAGTTACTTCGACAAGCATCCGTCATCGCCTACAGGCAACACAGACACTCCGAACCGAGCGGCCCCTATCTCAGATGTGCCTGGCCGATGGGTGGCAGGTTCTCGGTCCCGCCTCCTTCTCTACTCAGGTAAGTGACTTCTCCCCCCCTCTCTCTCTCTCTACCTCTCTCCCTGTGCGAACTGCAACCGCTGCGTCCGCTGCTTATGATCTGATCGTCCGCGCCGGACTCAAACTTAATTATCCCTCCGCTAGAGTATGGACAGATACACCCCGTTTCCAACCATGCACCCTGGGAGATAGAGAGAAGCTACCTCCATCAACGTGCGAAGCATCGCACCGGCCAAACGGCAAGTCTCCAACTCTGTGGCTCACTCCCCGCTACTTCCCTCCGTAGGATGAGCAAAATCGGATGAATCTTCTGTAAAAAAAAGACGGCCAGGTGCGTACCCCCTTTCCTTGCCTTTCCTTTCCGCTCCCCGGTCTCTCCTCAACTCCTAATCTTACATCCTCACTCCAAAGTCTAACCACACCACTGAATTCGCAGTATACTGCAAACCCCCGTTCGACCTCTTCGTTCGCCCAGATTTGCCGAGGACGGTTAGGATACGTTCTTCTTCATCCTCTCCCCCCATGTTCTTTTCCACCATTCCTGCCCACAGTCTTTTCCTTCTAACTTTCGTTTTACTAACTTAGTGCTAGTTCTGAGCTCGGATACGGGGTCGCCAATCTCCAACACCCCCGAATCGACTCTTCGTTTGCCTTTCTTTATCACGAAACGAGCGAGATCCGCTTTCCTTGCCGCATCTCCTTCGTCTTAATCATCTCCAACTACTTCGCGCAGTCCCTTCTCTTACTAACTCACGTTCCACTAACTTTCCTCCTCATCTGACCATCTCATTCGATTCGCTCGGGGCCAAAACCCAGGGATCGCTTCCTTCCCTGCCCAAATCCGTTCAACAATGGATACGTTATGCTCTTTTTCCTCCTCGTCTTTCCTTTCCTCCGCCATAGCCCACCGCATTCTCTCTTTCTCCCAACTTTTCCTACACTCCCCCTCGTGCTAATTTGACTTCGTCATTCGGTTCGCGCTAGCCTAAAACCTGAGAGCAGACCCTCCTCTTACTCAAATCGATTAAGAATCGAGCAAGGTTCGCATTTTCTACTACACTCCGCCTATCTCCCCGTCATCTTTGAGTTTTCTGCTTCTCTTCACGTGCACCCGACGCAAATTCACGTCCGGGTTCATTCTCCTTGCCAACACCCCCGCTATCCCACTGCGGTCGGCTAGTGAAACGTGCGCTCTCTCGTTGTGCGCTAAACACAGCGCCTCGATGTGCACAAGTTGATACATCCCATAAAACAAGCGACCGTGGAAACCGAAATCCACTAGGGAGTGTCTGACAACCTCACCCGCCTGGCCCGCCAATCTTGAGTGGCCGGTGGCGCTGGGGTGCATAACCTATGCGCCCACCCCGGCCTTGCTGCGTCCACCCCACAGGCTTAGCAGTCGTCGTCCTCTGCGTGATCGCACCGCACCCAGCCTCCCCCGTGACTCTGCGCTCGCTGCCCCACCCGTTGTTGGCTAAAGGTATACAGCTGGCCCGCATCACCCGCCTGCTTAGCAGGTATCACATCTGCCGGTGGGTGCAGCTCCCGCACGTCCCCTCGTTGGAGACCCGAGCATGGATATGGCTGCTACGAGGTTTCTTGTAATAAGGAAAGGGGTAGCTTTGGCGCGGTCACGACAACAATTCGTAATCGTACTCCGGGCCTTCCTACGAATATATTATACCCCTATGCAACCTCATCGGACCCGCAACGTCGGTCATATACATTCAGCACTACCAGTCCCTTTGTCTCCAGTGCAATTACGAACTCAAGCCCTGACCGCGCCGTGGTTCTCAGACGCCGTGTGGTGGAGGACCTTCGCCAGCGTCCTAAACACGCGGACCCATCGAACAAGTCACGCACTCAAGGTCCTCGACCGCGTGGTTCCTTCGCTCCGCTCTGATCTCTTCGCGTTGTCGCCGCTCGATCTCGTTCCCTGAATCTCTTTGATGAAAATTTGATGCCGTAACAGTTAGTGCTAGGCCCAAGTCCTGGTCTATCTCTGACGGTCGTCTAAAATAAACTAATACTGCGTGACGCGCAAACCTACCGAGATATTTTCAAAAAAATTCATTTGTTGTCGTTGCCGTCCTCCGCACGTACGAACAAGTCAACGGCAACGCACCAATCAACGAGACCTAATCGTTTTCGCCCTAGCTTAATCAGATAATAAAAATCTGGCCGGCGACCAACGCCAGTTTTCGCCATCATCAACCAAAGGTAAAAAGATCATGCGAGCATCAAGTCTGCGCGCCCACACACTTTCTACTCTAGTTAACTGTCTGGTCAACAGAACTCCCGAACGCAGCCGCGCCTTGCGCGGTATAATTAAACTTTAAACCATACTTATTTCCTGTTACTTGCAAAAACCAGGGCGGATATCCTTGCAAGGGTATTTGCACCGACACCGCCGAGATTCCGGTCACTACGGCCACGGGACCATAACCCGCTGCCGTGGTCTCAGCTTTTCCGGATGCCCCGCTTCTCCCTCCCCTTCGCACGACCGCAGTGCTACCTGGCTCTCCTCCTTATGGGATGCCCCACGCCACTCGTGCGTCCTGTGTGTCCGATGAACGGAGAACGGGCTAAATTCAACGTCGTTCAACCCGTTTAACGGGCCCGGGGACCCCCGTTGAATCCCGTTTAACGCAAAAACGAGGGTCTCCCGTTGAATTCCGAAAAACGGATTGGGCGCGTTGGGCCTCGGACATGTGGCCCTACACGCCTAAACACTCGAACCAAAAAAAAAAAAAAACCCCCCCCCCCCCCCCTCTAAACCCCCCTATGGCTCCGCCCATCGGACTTTAATGAAGGTCATGAGAGCGGGACGGTCCCCAGGCCTGCAACACACCCCTGGCCACGAACCTCCCCATTTTTCCACCCCCCCTCTTTCGCTGGGAGTAAACAACGACACCCCTCATGGGCCCTACCCAACTCGCCGCCAACAACCCCCCCCGCCCCCCCCAAAACCCACCCACCGCAAACCCCCCCCACCCCAATCCTGGCAGAACATTATAAGTTAGTATTTCAATCGATCGTCTGCCACTGTGGATGGGCGAGTTTCTGGTCAAATATCCGCCGGTCCAATCGAGTAACATCGAGCACAGCGACCACCGCCAACTCCTCAGCATCCAATGGACGATGAACCTCCTGCGGAGCCGGTCGTCTCGGACGTGGACGCACAACCAACGGCTCGGACCCCAAGTCTGTGATAACAACAGGTGGCACATCATGCACTGCCATCTCAGCCGGCTACAACCGTCGGGCCTCGACCAATTGCATGCCCGAGAACGGGACAGCCTGACCCGCCACTGTGTCATGAATTACGGGTCGTGAGTCGCCCACCCCCCCCGTCTCGGCCCTGTCCAGCCTCCACAGCCTCGTCCACCGTCTGTGGCCCGCCAACCCCAGCCTCAACCACTATCTGTGGCCCACCCTCCACAACCTCATCTACCGCCTCTGCTGCCACCGCCTCTGTAATGTCCGTCCGGGCCGCCCCCGCCACCAACCCACCCTGCCGACCATCTCTCCCTGTTTCTTGACGCCTGCGCTCCTCCAAGGCCCGTGCGAACGCCGGAGCACGTGGATCGTTGAATGCCATAAGTAGAGCCTTCTCTCGCTCTATGATGTCGCGTGCTGCATCTGGAGACTCCGCCGCCGTCCTCTCTGTCGAGGTCCGCGAACCCGTCTCGCCTGCCATCTCGTCTATCGAAGGCGCTCCACCAGTCGATGCCGCCCCGCTGCAACTAGGTGGAGCACCCATCGACAGGTCAAAGTCAAAGTGGGTCCCCATCTCTGAACCCGCACACCCTGTGGGGGGAGACATCCCCAGCCCCCTCGCCACACCCGAGGTAAAACCGCCCACCACTGGATCGACCTCCTCGGTGATAAACTGTTGCATGAGGCGTTCCTCGGCATCCACACCATCCACCTCCTCTCCCACCACGTCAACTCCAACTCGCACCTCCTCCTCCCCGTCGCCACTGCTCGTACCTCCTCCTCCGCTACTGCTACCTCCGCCTCCACCGTTGGCGCTGCTGTCACCTCCACCTCCGCTACGGCTGCCCCCCCCATGTCCTTCGGAGTGGCACGGTGTCCAACCTCCTCCTGCAAAACCCTCAGGGAAGGTGATCGTAACCTCAACCGACGAATCACCGTAGATTTGTGCAGAAGACCGTGCTGAGGCAAGGAGGATGTCAACTCCTGCGTCTCCACCTCTGTAGCGGGCGGCTGAACTGGCGAAACGGGCGATGGTGATACAGTACCCGGAGCTGGAAGTGGCGCAGGACTTGAAGCAAGAGGTGGCGCAAGACACTGAGTAGTACATGGCGGAGGACATGGAGTAGGAGTTGGCGGAGAACTCGAAGGAGGAGGTGGCGCCGAATGGCGCCGAACTCTGAGCAGGAGGTGGCGGAGGACTCGAAGCAGGAGGTGGTGCCGAACTCGGAGCAGGAGGTGGTGCCGAACTCGGAGCAGGAGGTGGGGGAATGGACGATTGAGGCCTCGTCGCAGTAGGAGTCGTGATCCCCACCTCTGCACGGCTACTGCGTGCATGAGATCCCCCCACTCTCTCATCAAGCACATCACCTGTGGAAGCCACCTCCCCGAAAAGGCCCCAACGATCCTCGTTTTCCCCCATCATCTCCATCTCATCAAAGTCCCCCCCTCGTCGTGTTGTGTATGTCCTCGTCTCCACGTCCTTGGCATCCGCGTGTGTCTCGTCGATCTCACGAGGAATGGGGAGCGCAGGGTCATTCGCTGCCTCGGGCAACCGCTCGTCATCAAAGTCATCATCCCTGGGATACGGACGAAAAATGCAAGCACGTAGCTCAAAAACAGCAGTGGCAGGCGGCGGTGTGGAAGCACCGATGGGATCACACGTAATATGCACAACCTCCTGAGCAATCTCCTCCTGCGCCATCCCCTTGCGCGTCCCCGTGCGCACCAACTCCAGCTCAATGCCTGCCTGGCAGTCGAGCATGCCCTCGTCCCGCTGCCATGGCAACACATAACCGCATCCCACCCGCCGATACTCCGTCAACCGCACATTTGCGGTGATCTCAACGAGCTGCACAACCTTCTCGAAGGCCAACTGGTTGCGCTTCTTCGTGTGGATGCCCTCATGGACCGCCCAATTTCTCTTCGTTGGAGGGGCACAGGACCACATGTGCATCACACGAAGAGCCCACCGCTGCAACTCAGGCGTGCCAGCCCCGTACTGGGACCACCAAGACGTGCACTCGATCGTCTCCGCATCACCGCTACATGCGCGCCCACGAGCACGCCCCTCCGCCCCGCCCCAATCACCAAACCTGCCCTACTGCATGTGGAAGTCCTCGAGTTGCCGACACGCAACGATGTAATCCGCACCGTCCAACTCGAAACCTGTCTGCGTCAAAATGTACCTCTTGGCTTGCCTCACAAGCCAAGCATGGTAAGCCTCCACCTCGCCAAAAAAGTAACGAACATGTCGCCTACGCGGGTTCAGTAAAAACCCAGCACAGTGAACCGGCTCAAGCATGTGATGTGTGCGGGCCTGCACACGCCTGATGATCTGGTCCGTGAAGGACTGGCCCAAAGGAGCACATGTGTCCTTCACATGGTGGACAAGATCCTGTGCCCACTCGACCATGAGCAACATGAACTGCCCTCCATGATCCATCCGCCTAAGCAACTGCATGACGAGCTCCATAATATGGACGATGGTGGCAACCCTCTACCACCAAGGATCCTATCTGATTTGTCGGCGCACCAACGCGCCATCTGGCACACATCGACAGACCGCGGGATGAAAGCAAATGCCCGCGAGTCATCCCCTCTCATCATGCCCTGCAAAGTGTCCTGCAGAGCCAGGAGCCTCTCCAACATGGAGTAAACAGACGCGAACCGTGTCTCGCAGGAAAGAATAAACCCCTTGTCGGGGTTGCGCCTCCTAAAAAAAGAAGGGCGGCCTGGTGGGTTTTGAAAAGCACCACCAGCACACGAGCGCGTGTGATTGCGTCCACAAACGCATCGCAACTCGTCCCCATGTCTGACAACAATTTGTTGCAGACATGGATGGAGTACGGAAGCCAAGTGATCCTCCTCAATGCAAGAGGCATGGTCGACGAGGCCAACGGCCTTGCAGCCCCCATGTACGCTGAAGCGGAGTTAGTGCAAATCATATTGACCCACTGAGGCCCACCGAACCTGAACTCGTGGAAGATGATGCCCATCTCCGAAGGACGTGCACTGCATCGTCCGGCTCCCCCTCTCGATTGATCGTCCTGTACATGACGACCCCTCGCGAGCCTGTGGCAAGGAAATTCACGATCGGTCTCCCGTCTCGTGATTTCCTCCCGTCAGAGAGGATGGTGGCACCAATCACCCAGAATGGTTGCCTCACCTCCTCCAACTCCTCCGCCAACTTTGCACGGTGGGTCTCCACCGCGTGCATGCTGGCAATCTCGCTGTGGCCAGGGAGCACAGTGCGCGGCAAACTGCCAGGCTGCTCAAGGAGCACCTGTTGATATGCCTCCCATGCCTCGTTGCGGAAGGCATTGAAGGCCACCCCGCTGGAATAAAGCCAGCAGAGGAAGGCCTTCTTGTGGCGAGCAACCCACTCGCCACCGTAGACCTCAGTCACCTTCTGCTGTCGGAGTCTCTTTCCAGCGTGGGTAGCAGTTGGATCAGTTCCTCCTTCCTTGCTCTTCAAAGGACCACCCTCCCTCAGACCAGTCGATGCAGGCACCGCCCCCTTGGCTGCTCGCCCCAACCAGTCCACCATCCTCTCCCCAATGGCTGGATGGAACTCTGGCGCGTCCTCGTGTCTCAGGAGTCCCTCCTCGCCAAGGCCTTGTGCCTCGTGATCGATGTGTAACGTATTCAGAAACAGCATTAGACCTTCTTCATGCATGCCCGAATCTGAATTGGCGCTCGTGGCCTCTGGAGTCAAGTATCTTAACCGAGTGGCAAACCTCCAAACTCAAATTAGGGTCACCAAGACGCCGGGTACCTCAATGCAAGCCCGAACTGCAGATGTGCCCGTTTGAGAGACACGGCATCAACTTTGGTCCTCCGACGAGGTGCAACAAGGGCCACATTTAAGAAGATCGATGACACCTGCACATCAGAGGCGTGCATGATCCCATATACTTGGCGGAGAGGATGTTCAGGTCAACTGCTCGAAGGCACAAAGAACTCGTAATATGAAAAAAAAATCAGAAAGTTCACTCCATGGCAAACGGCCAGACGTCTGGACCGAAATCCAGACGGTCTGGTTGTCTTGGTATGGGTCCGGTTTTTGTTCGGTATGTCTGGATTGGGCCAATTTTAAAAAATTTGAATTTTTTTGCGGAGAGGCTAGGACGTTTTTTGGGTCGTAGGCCGCCCCCAAAAAATGCCCCTGGTATTTGTTCGTTGTTTTAGGGTCTATTGGACTCCGCCAGACGCCTCCAACAGCTCCCTCTGATGTTGTACTACGGTGGTAGTTCATCGGATGAGGATGAGTCCGATTCCGAAAATAAAGTGTTGGCTTCAAAGCGCTACAAAACATCAAGCTAGAGAGAGAGAGAGAGAGAGAGAGAGAGAGAGAGAGAGAGAGAGAGAGATGATTTTGGTCAGATCTGAGGTCTCGTCTTAGATTTGGTTCTGACCAGATCTCAGATCTGTTCTTACACAGATTTGAATAACTTAACAATTTAAATTTTCAATTTTCATATGAATATGAATTACAAAGTCTATCTTCAGTCCTTTGGGACATCCGTTAAAATTGGAACGATACAGAGACAATTAGCATGGCCCCTGCGCCAGGATGACATGCATAAATCGAGAAATGGTCAAAAAAAAAAAAAAAAAAAAAAAAAAAGTCATCAATTTCCAAGATATGTTTCTTTCTGATTTTCGTACTCTTTCCTGAAGTGACTTGGGATTGGTTCGTTGATTGTGTGAGCCTTTGTCAATGTCTGTCACAGTATGAAGCTGTCCAATTGTGAATAGTGAAATACAATAAGTTGTGTTTAGTACTGTTTACTTAACTTCATTACTTCTTCTTTTTTTTCTTTTTTTCCAATCCGGACATTTTTTATGTCTGGTGTACAGGTCCAGACGGTCCGGGTCCGATCTTGTCTGGTTGTCCGGCGCCTGTCCAGATTACCGGACGTCTGGACCAGTCCAGACAAATGTCTGGGCCTCAGTCCAGACATCTAAGGGTCCGAGTCCGCGGTTACCATGGTTCACTCACTTTTTTCTCAAAAAAAATAAATAAATAAATATTTTTTACAGGGCAAAAAAAAAAATTATAACTGCAACATAGAGTGAAGATTGCTTTTGCCTACCGGATCTTGACACAAAAGCTCTTGTCTTGTCTCCACATTTGTCTCTGAGATGAAAATCTTCCTCAATTCCGAGAGATTATGGATCTGTAGTCCCATTATTGAAAAAATAGAAAATATTTAGTAAAACACTAGGCTACCAGCCAGGCTGCCCGGGTGACCTTGTTTCCCCGGTGTCGGGACTGGTGAGTCCCGAATAACTTCCCATCACTTGAGAGACTGAATATGGGCAAATTGTGCACAACAGAGAAATCTCGAGTGAGGAGGCAGGAGAGAGAAAAGACAAAGGATTAGGCCGCAGGAGGGAGTGATGTCCTGGGGTGAGAACCCCAGAAGGGAAGAACAAGCAACGACAAGCAAGCAAGCGCAAGAACAGGGGCACATAGAACATAGCATGAGGCCGGGAGGGCCGTTGGAATGCAATAAGGCTAAGGCCAAAAGGCCCTTGAACCAGCAAAAGCAGCACGACAGCGATAAAGGAATGAGGGAGTCGAGGGATGGGCGGCCCAGAGGCCACGGGAAGATAGAGAACGAGGGGTCAACATACAGGCCACCTACGGGAGCCTCGAGGTAGAGACCCGCGACCAAAAGTACCGGCGCGCGCAAGGCGCAAGAAAAGACAAGGGAGAGGAGTCACCATGGGGCGGCAAACCGCCCAAGGGACTTGGGACACCTCGGGGAAAGGCACCCGGAGCCACATGGGACTAAGTAAAAATAATGGCATCCGGGGCGAAATGTGCCAGGGACCGTCGGCGGGCCTAAGTGTCGGGGACCACCGACGGGACTAAGTATTGGGGACCACCGACGGGACTAAGTGTCGGGGACCACCGACGGGACAAGTGGCGGGGGCATGTGATAACCCAAGAAGAAGCGGCGGCACCGCATGACGGAAAATAATAAAGGAAAGGTGCACCGTCAAGATCGAGATCTTGACGGTCAAGAATATTAGCACCACTAGTGCAAGCACTAGCGGTAGCAAATGGGAAGGCCGAAAAGAAAAGAAAAGGTAAAGAAACTTGAGGTGGGAGGCATGGGAGCAATCTGAAAAATCTCGGATCAGCCTCCCTCAAGAAAATGGAGTAAAAAAAGACCCCATGTGAAAAATAGCCCTCCGGGAGAAAATCGGAGTACGAGGGGCTACTATGGGAGGAAAGTAGGAGTGAAGGGAAGCTGCAATGGGCATGAGAAGGCCATTATTGCAGTCCGAGATATAACGGCAAGCACTAAGAGGAAAAGGCTACAAAAGGGCCTTAACAGCCACTTGACACTTAGCATGCAAGAAAACAGAGAGAAAAAAAAAAAAAAAGTGGGAGAATAAAACAAAAAGAGTGAGAGGGAGTGAGTGAGTTGGCCGTCAGTAGGGACTGCCACAAGTAGGGACTGGCAGGTCCCTACTGTCCAAGAAAGGAGGAAAAGAAAAGAGAAAAGAAAAGAAAAGAAAAGAGAAAAAGGCCTTAATGGTAAAAAACGGTCACTTGGGGAGACTCATCCGTGACCACATTCATTTTGGAATATGGCGATTACAAAACACTTTGATTTTCTTTGATTTTTGCAGAGGAAATCAAAGAAAATCAAGGCCCCTTGCAACCGGAATAAAACGGATTACATGCATGATGAGAAACACATGTTTTAAGTGCATCCGAAGCCAAAATCAAGTCCGTATGCACTTGGGAATCGACCGTTTCTTTTTCTTTTGAGTAAGGGCTAGTTGTGGGGCATTGGGGCTAGGGAATTGACCCCCATTGCAGTCCGAGTTGCAATGGACTGCATAGGGATGCCTACGCTAAGGGAAAATGAGCCACGACAAGCCCGGAAGGCTAGAAAAGAGCGATTTCGGCATGCGACAAGTAAAGACGGTAAACGACAACTGTGAGATGAGATCTCACGGCCTAGAAAAATCAGCACACATGTAGAGATGATGGGATCACCAAGGGCAAGGGGCCCCAAAAATAAAAATGCGACACCATCAGGAATGTTGTCAGGGGCCAAGTGGGTCCAAATAATAAAAATCGAAAAACGGGACATGCTCCGCGTGGGACCGTTGGCGGGACAAGAAAATGAAACTAGTATGGAGGAGAATGGCGGGGACTTGGGATGTCCCAAGGGGACCATGAGCAAGCACAAGGAATATTTGTGCAAACAAACGGCACCGTCGAGATCTAGGATCTAAACGGTGAAAAATATTAGCACCACTAGTGCTTGTGGGAGAGCCATGGGGTGAAAAGAAAGCAAAATAATACTGTTGGGAGGGCTGCCCAGCAGTCCGAGATATCTCGAACTAGCTAGGCGTGAGAAAATATAGCCTCAAGAGGCTCAACATGAGAAAAAGGCTGCCCTTGGAAAATCGGAGCAAGGGGGGTTCAAAATTGGACAAAAGGAGGCAAAGTGGAGCCCTCTAGGAGCATGGGGGCGCCATGGTTGGAATCCGAGATATAACGGCCAAGAGCCAGCCATGAACTTAGCCTTGAATGAGGTCCTAGGGCCTAGAAAGAGGGTGTGCAGCAGTTTGACCGTTGTCACAACTGAAATAAAAGAAACGAATGAAAAATGAGAGAGAAATGAGGGAGACTGAGATAAAAAGGGAGAAACGAGAGGAGGAGAGTGTGCCGGCCTATAGGGAGCTGCGCAGTAGGGACTAGCAGGTCCCAACTGCGACCTCATCCCTCCTAGAATGAGGGAGGGCAATCCGGATTGTAGGGATATGGCCCTTGGGGCCATATCTCAATAAAATCTGAATTAAAAAGCAGAAAATGAGAGAAAAGGCAAAAAGGAAGTGACCGGTTTTCTTTTCGGCCATGGATCTGAGATCAGATCTCATGGTGGAGAGGAACTAGCCGTTTTTTGTGGGCCAGCTCAAAACGGCTAGCTCCGGAATGAGGTGGCAGCCAAAAATGGAAAGAAACAAAAGAAGAAAAGGGACAAAACTGTGCATTTGGCCCAAAAAGAGAGCCAGATGCACAAAAAATTAAAAAAGTGGACTTAGGGGCTCAAAATTGAAGCAAGGACTACTAGGGGGTAGCACGGATTATTGTTGGCCTTGGATCTCAGCCAGATCCAAGGCTGAAAATGTGCCGCCACATAGAAAAATGCTCCGGCCTACCCAAGGGAGTCTGAAACTTCAAGAAATCGAGAAAAAAAACATAAGTTTTTTTTCTTTCAAGTAAAATTGCCCCTTGGGCATTAGGCAACATTTGTGAGGCAAAAAGGAGGCCGGAGTAGGCCAAGAGGCAATCCGAGTTGGTACCAACCACTCGCACTGCATGTACTTGGCCAAAAAGAGGCCCGGGTACCTCGGGGAAGACCTAGTAGTGAATTTTTTCCTTAGGGGTACCTCGGTTCACCTCAAGGCTCATGGGGAGGTTTATGGGCTGGCCGGACTGCTGGTTTCAGCCTACATAAGCTGGGAATTCAGTCCGCCACTTTCACTATTGCATGAGGAGTGTCCATGCTGCCCAAGTGAGCTCGTGAGAGCAGTCTTTCACTTGGAGAGAGGAGCGGGGAGCCCATGCTAGTTTAGGAGCTCGGTGGACCCCAAGAGTTAGGGAGAGGAGCTCTAGGAACTAGAGGTAGTGAGGTTGGCACTAGGGGAGGTGATCCGCCATAGCCCCC